CTACCACGTCCAGAAATGGCCCCCATGTCAAACGTTGGCATCGGTCTAATCTTACTGGAAGAGTCGGTTCGCGTGCGACAAGGCTACGTTCACCAGGAGAGCCCCACCCACTACAGTGTGCTCACATGGTGGTTTTACAGCGGCTGCTACTTCAGACTAGCGCGCGAGAACATAGCATGGACATACCTCCGTGAAGCAACCACACAAGCACAGGTACCTCGTATGCATGACGAGGAGACTTATCAACATGATCCGCTCGATGTTTTCAGCAAACGAGTTCTGTACTGGCTCCTCTTCATAGCCGAAAGGTACAACTACAAGTCAACGTGTTTTCCCAGCGCTCTCTGCTAATTGTCTATAGGACTTATGCGGTACACAAACATCGCACAATCTCCTTACATCCAACCATCCGCCCGCCTTCTATGGACGAGGTTTCCTCTGATCAAACCATTTCCATTAAACTGGAAGTCATGATTAACATGTTCAAGATCATCGACAACAGATTCGTCAACCTCTGGAATCGAGTGCCTAACACACATGCAAGCGCTGCATGGATTACGCAAGTCCAAGTCCAGCTGCTAGAGGCCGTCCCCGCATATTTCGAGTGCACAGAGGCCCAAGAAGTTCAAATCCGCATTACACAACAATGGCTTCGATCGCAAGCCTGGCAATTGAGCAACGACCAGATCCTTGTTAGCAGCGTGTCTGACCACGTTATCTTCAAATCCCAACATCTGATTGAGACCCCCCTGGACCTTCTCACTATTGTACCTCAGTATCTCGAACAAGCCAAGCTGGTCCACGAGGTAGAACTGGTTAGTAGTTTCCTATTCTTTGGGATGTTACCCCCAAATCTCGAGATCGTCTGTGCTCTAGCCCTCCGTCTATCGCCGGAACAATCTCTGTACTATTTCTCTCGCACTAGCGCCACACTATGTAACGTCTGTCTCTGACGTCTATGTCCTGACGAGCCAAACGGGCATGTTCGCTCCTCTACTTACACACCCGCTACGTTTCGCCTATCAGTTGTGCCAAACTTCAACTAACAACGCTGCAGATCGAGAAGTTATGCGACATCGCTTGTTGCATTGCTCGTGCCACTGCATCTCCATACTTTTGGTCTGAGGCAACTGCCTTGAGGTCCCACGATGATGTGCCGAATTTCTTGACTTTGATAAGTAACTATTGTAAAGGACAGGCTCGATATCGTCGTCTCTACGAAACATTTTTCGATCTCGAAAGCGAGAATCCCGACTTTTCTTTTGGAAGAGTATCGACCATAGAATCAGCGACATGCCAACGCTCTTCTCTAGCTGCTCAGTTCCCGCCAACCAGCCTCTGACGATCATTCTGGCAGTCTC